GTGAACACTCTACCCTTTCAAGTCAAGTTTACAAGTGAGTTTTAGCAAATGTCATTGTTATAATCAGTATCAAAATAGACATCCAATCCGAGTATGAAGACAAACTTAGGGAGTGTACTTTCAGTGGAAGACTTGTTTTGTAAAATCACCCAGCTTGAAACATGGATCATCGACGGAGATAATTCTAAATCCTGGGTGAAATGTAACGAATGGAGGGGGTGGGGTGGGGTGGGGTGGGGTGGGGAGGGGAGAAAAGGGCTAAGCTACACCCATGGAACAGTGGTGCTAACCTGCAACAAGTTTCAATATTAGTGATTGACCACGAATGCAACCTCGTCCATCTTTTTTACCATCTCCATGGTAACCTTTCGGGCACACACACCTAAAAGTCCCTTCTTCGTTTTGACATCGGTCCTTTTCACAATTGTTGAGACTTGAATTTTTACATTCATCAATATCTGCATAACAAAAACAACAATATGGAAAAAAAAAAAAAAGCGGAGAAAATCTTAAGGGAAAGAAAAAGTGAATTTAAAATCTTAAAAGACACGTGGCTAAACAATTCAATGAGAGAGTGATATGTTGTATTTCTAGATAATACACAGTAAATCGAACTTTAATACCTTTACAACCATCACTGTCACTGAGGTATGGATTTCCTTCATAACCCTCTGAACAATAGCAACGATACCCATTATCAGTTTCATTACAACTCGAATTCGTGCTTTTACATGCATAACTAGACTTGTTCTTCTGAGACTCCTCACATGTTCCTCCGTCAATTGCCCAGTCAACCACCATGGGAAGCTCCTCTACATTCATCAGACTTGAAAGAATATTTGGAGAAAAATTGAATGCACTTTCCTCAGCAAAAAATGCATAGCTGCAATTATTGAAGTCCCAGACGGTGCTGTAATTATCATAGCTCTTTGTGAAATTATCATAGCTATACAAGCTCAATTCAACTCCCCACACCCCTTTTGGGACAGACGTTTGGCAACAGCCTACACCAGAACATGGCCCTTCCACCAGATCATCCTCGCTGGCACACAGGGAAGTGCACCCTGTTTGGTATTCATTCTCGTAAATCCAGCCCCCGGATACAAAAGCATGAGTATCACAACCAACAACAGTGAACTTGTTGGCGGTATTATTGGCTGTGAATTCTTTGAAGCCTATATAGGAGCCATTATAGAGTACTCTGGTTCCATTCCTAGCATAACAGTCTTTTGCAATGGAGTTCAACACAGTCAATTGACCCTCCAGGGATATTTTTGTGATTTCTATGTTTGAGCGTCTCAAGAATGGTTTAGGAGGATCGTAGTGAGAGTCTTTACAAGTGACTAAGAATGTTTCACTAAGGTAACAACCTTCCCTTGTACCGAAGGGGAAGGGAATACTTACATCTCCACAATGATCAGCGCATTTAGCTCTTGGGAAATTATTTTGTGTAGAAACTGATTTTGAGACAAAAATAAGCAGCATCGCCAGAAAGAAGTGGGCTTGCAGCAAAAGCATTTGCAATCCCATGGCGAATTTAGTTATAATTCTTTTTCCTAGATTGTATTGCAGTAACAGAATTAGAGTTAATTTAATCAACACTCACTCAACTTTAAACTTGTTACCACTTACTCACTCAACTTCAACGGGTTACTGAACACTCACTCATCTTCCCTTATTGTTACCCATCCACCACTCACTCCACTCCCGTCTCTTTTAATTAACAGAAAATTACACGTGGAGGACGGAATATTACGTGGCAAAGTGGGCCTTAAAATTAATCCCAGCTGGAATAAAACTCACGACTCTCCTCTCCTCTCCAACCCAACACGCTTCTTGCCTCTGCTCACCAACTCTGGGTTAACAATTTTTGAATTCCCATTTCAATTCAAACCTTAAATCTGAAATTCCATCCCCGACAGTCGAAAATTGGTGGACTCCGCCCTCGCCCAGCTACTCTCTCTTGATCCGCCGTCGCCCAGCTCAAAAATTGGGGTAAATCCGCCATTGCCCAGCTCCAAAATTGTTGATCCTTCCACCAATTCAATTTAAACCCATCCAATTCAATTCAAACCCCGACGACAGCGCCATCTCCACCACCACGAAGGAATCTGCCATCGTCCAGCTCAAATCTCTCAAGGACGACAGGGCCAAGCTAGAAAAGAAAATCGCAGAGCTCGATGAAGTTGCAAGTAGATTTTCTGATTGTAGCTTCGGCGGAGATACTGGTTATCTTCGTCCATTCTCAGGTCAAACGCAGAAGCATTTTGAAGATGCAACATTTGCTTTGCAAATTGGTGGAATTACTGAAGCAAGCAAGATCGATTATGTAAAGGAGATTGAAGTCCTGTTTGGGAAGGGAAATTGGTGGAATTACAGAATGTGATAGAAGGGAGATTGAAGTCCTGTTTGGGAAGGGAAATTGGTGGAATTACAGAATGTGTTATTGCTGGTGGAATTACATTGAATGTCTTATTGCTGGTGGAATTGCAGAATGTCTTATTGCTGGTGGTTATTGCTGGTTTATATTGCTGTTGGTGGGGCTGATAAGTAGTTGGTTGTTGTAAATTGGCTGTAGTTGGTCTTATTGCTGGTGGTTATTGCTGGTTTATAGGGGCTGATAAGTAGTTGGTTGTTGTAACTTGGCTGTATGATCTTTGTACTATTGAATGAATGAATCATGTTATACTTTGGTTTGTTTCATTTTTGTGCCTGAGTTAGTGTGTTCCCCAGGATATAAATATAAACACAAACCAGTAAAACCCAAACCAGTAAAAAGGCAGAAACTAGTAAAACAGAAACCAGGAAAAACACAAACTGCTGGAAGTTCCATTTCATTTATTCATTCTCAAAATCACTAATATAAGCCAGTAAACTGCTGGATGTAACCATTCATTCAAAATACATAGGAATATGATGGTTAAATGACATTTGAAACACATTAGATGACCAACAGCTACAGCTGGAACAACAGCCAAAAATAGTTCACTGTCAAAAAGTCTTCATTTCAGACCCTAAACTACATCTATTTGGAAGGACCAGTGTTGTTAGATTGTGCATCACTTGTGACCCGAAGTCCAGGTGTCGGCATGAAAATGTATCCATCTGTTGGAGAATTATGTTGTACTTCATTTGTTGAATTCTTGTTTGCTCTTCGAGTTGCCAGCTTCGCCTATGTTGCATAAATGATTAAGACTAATGAAATAAGAAATCAATGGTAATCATAGAGTAACAAAATGGAAAAATTACCCTTGAACTTTGACTTTCAACTTGGCTAGCTCTATCTTGGTTTATGTGATTGACATCATTTCCATCCCAATCCTGAAATCAGTAAACATAGTTACAAACATGGTTTCTACTCTACAACTTTAGAACACTTGTGATTAAAGAAAGACAAACCTCAATCGGTGCATCTGCCCTGTCATGATAACGCTTGTTGTGGCCAGGTAAACGACATAAAGAGCATGTCATCTTCACTGTGCCTTTTTTCTTCATTCTTGAAGTTGTGGCCGAATGAGTGATTACATCTTCCTCCTGTTGCCTTCTGCGCTTTTTTTGCTTCCTTCCCCTCTTCGCCACCACCCAACCCAGTGGTTGTAATGGGATAGCATTCACTTCCGGCCACAATTTCTTACCATTAATGGGATTCACAATGTTTTCATAGCACTGTAGATAGGTTTGCACTGTGTAGCACTCATGCACGTACTTTGTAGGATTATCCCCTCTGTCTAGTATAACAGCAACCCCATGTCCACATGGAATCCCTGTCAAATCCCATCTCCTACATGCACATGTCTTGTTTGACAAATCAACCACGTATTCTCCAGTACGACATTTCACATAGAACTGTGGGCCCCCAGACCACTCTACTTCACACTCCTCAGCTATTTCCGTGGATTTAGCTAATTTTTGTTGAATCTTGGGACACAAAGGTCCTCTGGCTCTTCTCATCTTATCCCTCCTTGATTGTATCCTCTTCATGCAGCTAATATGCATGTCAATTAACATAGTCAAGATTGATTTCTCCCTATCCTCTAACACTACATTGTTGAAAACTTCACATAAATTGTTAAGTACTACGTCACTCTTTACCTTAGTAGAGAAATGAGACTTACTCCATTCACGTGGATCCCTCTTCATTAACCAATCATACGCACCCGCACTCTCCTTCGCAAGTTCATCCATCCAAAACTTCCAATCAGGCACAGTAGTTGACTTTGCAGCTTTCTATAAGTATCCTTTAAGTGCTAAACTCTTAAAATCAGCCCTAAAAAAATTTGAATACATGTGCCGCACACAAAACCTATGTTCAGCATCAGGGTACAGATCCTCGATAACCTTTTGTAATCCTTTCTGTCTATCAGTCATAAAGGTCCATTCGTTGCTATTTACAATCTTTAAATCCTCACCCAAATGACTAACGAACCATCTCCAACTTCTAGCATTCTCCGTCTCCACTATTGCATATGCTACGGGTTAAATACAATCATTGGCATCTAGTGCCACGGCAACAAGCATTTGTCCGCCAAAATTCCCTTTCAAAAAACACCCATCTAAGCCTAACAGTTGTCTACAACCACTCACAAACCCTCTCTTGCAAGCTTCTAAACATATATAAACCCCTTGAAATTTTGACTCATGCGTGGTAACTATACATGTGGATCCTGGATTGCTTCTCAAAATCTCATGAGCAAAAGACCAAAGCAGGCCAAACTGGTGTTCATTAGAGCCCTCAATCAATATCCTAGCGTGTCTTCTAGCTCGCCATGCAGTAACTCTATTGATTATTAATTTCAGGCCATCTCTCACGGCCTTAATAATGAGTTCTGACTTCCAATCAGGGGCGACCTTAAAAGTCTCTATGTACTTCTCAGCAATATACTTAGCTGTACAATGCCTATTTGTTCTGTCCCGTAAGCATGTGTGCTGTGAATTGAACGTCTTAATTTGCACGCAACCCTTCTTCTTATTCCATGAAGCCCAAATCTTCCATTTGCAGTCCTTTTTTTTTGCACACTCCTTGTGCTCTCTTTTCATCATTCGCCGTAAACTTCAAATTACGCCTAGTGACAACTCCATAATGTCTAACTGCTTTCTTTTCTTCTATGTCTTTGAACTCTTTTCCAACCTCTAATTGTGGATTAAACTTCTCTATCTCAGCATCATACGTAGGGAAACGATAATTATTTTCCTCGTCCGAAGAATAATCAGTATGCAACTCCTCCTCAGAATATGCATAATTTGGATCATCCAATTCCGAGCCATCATCTTCCCTAGCTGTTTCAAATTGACTAACCAATACTCTGTCCTGTGCATTTCTCTGATATTGAAAACCACCGTCGTCCACATCATCCTCCGAGTCATTTAATTTGCACTCAAGTGGTACCAAATCTTCACTCTCATCGTTTGTCACTAGAATGCAAAAAAGACTAGGGTTAATGTTTGGATATAAATGAAAAGGTAATTAAAACAAGTATGGGTTTACGGCAAAAAAATTCAAAAGGAAAATAGTTAAGTACACCACTTTGCTTTTGTGTTTTAAAAAAAGATGAAATTCTCTTTAGTAGTATAAAATGAAAAGTAATATTTCTTTAACTCTATCTTTTTACAAAATTAATCTCCAGTAGTAACTTTAATTGTAAATTTGGTTTAAAGATTGGTAAAATTTTCCATCTTATTTTCAGCCTCTTGCCCTTATATATGTGTATGCATGCTAGTAATTTATATTTCTTTTTCTGTGTATAAAATTGAGTTTTAATAAAAATCGTTCACTAAGTAAAATGAAGAATGTGTGAATATTGAGTGGTCGATCGATCAAAGTTCAGAATCCACACTTTGATGCATTATGAAGTGGAATTATAATGCAATATATACCTTAGTAGTTTAAAAATTTTGTTCATAAAATGGGAATTATGAACACTTGTGATTAAAGAAAATTACCTTCTCGTGGTCTTTCTTGCTTGCCTTCCAGCAATCTGTCTTCCATGTGAGGGCTTTCTAGGTCACCAATGCCCTCCATTATCCTCACAAGAGAAGAATTTCCAAGCCTAATATGTTGATTTCAAAGTTAATTTCAGGTATTTTACAGCACTGGAGTTGGAGGTTTTCTTCCAGCAAGATGAATTTGGTGCAAAAGGGGGGAAATGTTCTCTTCCAGCTGGGATTAATTTTCAGCCCACTTTGCCACGTAATATTCCGTCCTCCACGTGTAATTTTCCGTTAATTAAAAGAGACGGGAGTGGAGTGAGTGGTGGATGGGTAACAATAAGGGAAGATGAGTGAGTGTTCAGTAACCCGTTGAAGTTTAGTGAGTAAGTGGTAACAAGTTTAAAGTTGAGTGAGTGTTGATTAAATTAACTCAACAGAATTACAACCTAAGCACTGTACAAACACATGTTGGCAAGATGATTTCTTATATAGAGCCCGTTTGAGACCCATTAAAAGCTTAAGAATGCATTTTAGAATATTAGATTGATGGAAAATGTATATTTAGAAAATAAGGAAAAAAATTTAGTTTGCGTGAAATATTA